AAACGGAAGTAACGTAACTTCGATTCAAAATTTCCCCAGAAAGAAGTTAGAAAAATGACCGGCATGACTCTATTGTTAAAGGAAAAGTATGATGTACAGGGGCAAGACACTATTAATTCAAGGTGGAGAGCATATATTTTAAATTATCAATAAATAAATTAAAAATATGATCTCCAGATGCAAATTAAAAATTGCATCTGGACATTGTGACTGTGTCACAATAAATAATTGTTCGTGTCATGTATTTTCTTTTGGAAACATGGTAATACTTAATATTATGGGATTCTTTCCTCCAGACTCCGCAGACTGGCAGCTAATGGTTCTCAAAACATTATTTTAAATAGCACTGCTCTAAAATGGACACGAAACATTTGTATATGTGATATGCTTTGAGGCATCATTTCATTTTTATTGTTACTGTTTTACTATAATGTTAAGCGTACCATAGAATTTGTTGTTAATTTTGTCCTTTTTGAATATAGAATCTTAATAAGTTAAGTTAAAAGTTACTGTTAAAAAGAAACTGATAAGTTAATAGAAGTAGTTAATAAGTTAAAAGAAACTGATGCAAGTTGAAAGAAATCTTAAGAGTATTTTGGTTACTCATCCTGTCTTATACTCGAAAGAGATGAATTTCCAGAATATTTAAAAGATATGTGCGTATGGCTTTTATTAAATACTAGTAAAAAACAAAAATTATTTGTACTGTGCTGGAAAAAGTTTAAGATCATTGGAATATCCTAGTTTCCCATTAATTAGAATTTTCTTTTAATATATTAACGTGTTTACAGAAATTAGAAAAGGCCTGAATGAAATTAAGAATGGGTTCACATTAAAGCTTGTTCAAAAAAAAAACTGAAATCAGTACTACTGTATAATCTGATTTGCATATAGCTGTAGCATTTATCTAATTCTTTATGACAATGGGGTGTGGAAAATCCTTGACAGAGTTTGGAAAAAGATAATTACCTTCAAGACTGTGATCATTTAGAGCATACTGTTCTGCCTACCAAAGTATCTAGATCTTGTAGATAGTTAAAAAATAAACTTTCTGTGAGACCAAAAAAAATTCCAAAAGAGATGAGAAGGGCATTTTAAGAATGCTTTAAGAATGGAAGCAACAATTGCTTCCTCAAGAAAAATTACAAGTGCAATCCAGCTTCCTGTTCTGTTCAATTAAAAATGTTTTACAGAGATTAGAGAATCACAAGATGTCAAAGCCCAAACTGTCCACAAATGTATTTACCACCTGCTGTGCAGTATGTTGGACATTCTTATTTATGACAACACATAGCCTTTAGTGATGAAAGAAAATTAATTTGGAAGGACTAGGATATATCCAACACTATTGGCTTTAAGACAGGACCTTCAGCTTTTAGCAATGCACACACAGGGAGGTAAATTGGTAGTGATTTTGGCTCTTATTTGTCAGTCATGTATTACCATTTTTCCAAAGCAATTAAATGCAGAATATCAAGTTCTACTAGGAAAATATCATCTTCCTCTGTAATGAGGTGATGGACAAAAACCTCCTTTTCTGGCAAGATAATGTGCCCTTGTACATTCAGAATTTTCTACAATAGCCTGACTTGCAGAGAATAATATTAATATTCTTCAATGGCCAATTTATAGCCTGACCTAAACTCCAAAGATTCTCTATAGGAAGACACAGTGATATATGCTAATGACCAGCAAAATATTTCTGACAAACTGCAATAGTAATCTCCTGGAAGCAAATCAGCTCTGACAGACTAAATTCACTAATTGTGTCAATACCAAATCAACTTATTCAAACTAATAGGGGCAAACAGAACATTAGATTGTAATTTTAGTTTTATTTGAGATTACAAGAAAACAATATAACAAATTATTCTGATCCTAAGCTTTTTCCAATGGAATATTCATTTTGAAAATTCTTCAAATTAGGAATTTGTTACTTTTTATTTATAATGTTTTATTTGCCAGTAGTAAATAATCAATTTAAAAGAAAGTGCATTGTTTTATCACCTTAAATATACTAGGAACAACAAACCTTCTTGTTACAAACTATTTTTTCCTCTTTTACAATTAGGTTCAAGTTAAAACTCTGTATATGTACTAAATGTAACAAAATTTTCAAATAAAACACTTGTATCATAATTGGTTTTCTAGGTATAATATTAACATCTGTCATTCTCCTCACAAGTGACAGTCTTTGTTAATATTTTAAAAAATTGAAAACAAGTTATTCTGTGTAGAAGACTGACACATTAAGAAGTTGACAAAGAACAAAGAAGTGATGGGATAATTTTCCAAAACACAATTATAAAAAAAAGAGAGGTTAACTCTATGTCCCTCCAAAACACTTCTTTGAGTTGATCAGCTGGATTATTTTTTTTGTTGTGAGTTGAATATGTCCATTTGGTAACTCTGAACTGTGTATTTTTTGTTTGTGTTTAATAAATGTAGATTAGAAGAAACTTTTATGTTGCTTGACCTATAAATCCTCTTAGTACAGCTTCACCAAAGGGATGATTTTAAGAATTATTTTTTTTTTGTAATACTACCATATTAAATAGGTATCCACTAGGGTTCCTCTTGCCATTTTATAGTAAGTCTAGTTGCTGTTTCAGCATCAAACTAAAAATCTCAATGTACTGTTTACCAATACATATATTTATTATTCCATTTGTTGTTACAAAATGCATTTCGGCTGTAAATCTCTTTCTTTATACGTAACAAATAAAGCAAACAAAACAAGAGTTACATAAATCTTCCATAGAAACATTATAATGTCAAACTTTTATCAGATTTTCTTCATTAAACCAGTTTTAAATGATTTAGCTGTCGATAAACAACAATGCTTTTTATCTTTTCATGTGTATTTTTATTTTATAAATGACACTTCCTACATTCAATGTATTTTCTTTATTAATATTAGAAATACAAATAATATATTGTAATTTATTTCTGTAACTAGGTACTAAATTTANACTTTATTCGGGCGTCGAGTCTTACTGCCAAATCTGTTTCCGGTATTCTTACGCCACAACTTTCAAAAGTTTCCTTTACTTTTTCCACCCGATTTCACCAGTTTTTCACGGGATGGCGTAAAAGCAATTAATCTCGCATTTTTACAAGATGTTTTTATTTAAACAAGTTTTATATCGAGTCTTTCGGGCGACTCGGATTACGCGGCCCGTCTAACGCGGATCACTTTTCGAATATTAATAGTAGACCGGTATTAATTAGTAGCGGTCGACCGTCCTGTCTTTCGGGAGATCGACGACTACTTTCGCTCGAATTACTTCCACCCCTTTCCGCAACGGACCGGCATTACGGTGGTATTCGAATAGGAAAAGTACTGTATGTACTGTACGTAATACGAGGTTACCGGCCGGCACAAAATATGTTTTAAGCGGTTTTCCAAGTGCCGAGTTTAAATATTTGAGGGATTAGCGGATTACCGTTCGATATTCGGTGCCGTTGTTTTTTGCCCGAGCAACGCCGCTAGTGTTGGTTATTTCGAAAAGTTTTAGAAAATTACGCGAAACCGCCATCTACCTCGTTAATTATAATTAATAGACGTTCGGTTACGGTATTAGCGCCGTCCGGTTAACCGCGTAAAATCTGTAAGCCCACCGAATTAACGGGTATCGTACTTTCCGTCGTTCGATAACGAATCGCCGGTTATCGGCACTCGCCCGTTTACGTAGAATAACTGTCGGCCGACCTTAAACGCTTTGGCAACGTCGAGCGCGATAATCGAATCTCGGCCACGAGTATTTCACCGAAAATAGGCCAGTTTTCACCGGGACCGTTTACCCACCGCGCGTCATATAGAGTCGGCGTGTTTTTCGTAAAGGCCAAGGAATCGATTCCTGACGAATTTGCCGGAAAATTTATAAACAAGATATTAATACGAAAAAGTATCGTCGAGATAAGATAGGAGGGATGACGTCGGAACTATAATTGTCGTTGTAATCGTTTAATCGATAATCTGTCCCGTTTACGGGCGCTTATCTACATCGAGATCTTTTCTTCTCGTCACGCGGCGTATTGTTTTAATTAACTACAATTTAAAGACGAATGTTTACCATTATCGCCGTATTTTAATAAAAATTAAATTTCCGCTTCCTCCTCGTCTCTGGCACGGCTTACCGTGGTGGCCGGTAGACTTCCGGACTTATAACGGGGGCGTAAACGTTCTCGAATGCGGACGACATTCGATTATTATTCCGATACACTACGATAGAAAAGGTCAAGAACGACGCATCGTTGGATAATGGAAACGAAAGCGATACAAATAATTTTCCAAATATTTCTAACCTACAGGCGTCTCTGGTGTTTTTACGCAAAGGGCGCGTTAAAGAAATTCGACGGCGCAATCCATTACAGCAAAATACCTTTCTTCCTTTCGTTTTTTTCCGTTTATCGGCATTATACTAGCGCCGTGCCAACGATACCGTATCGAATCCTTTGTTTGCGCTTTTAAAATCGGATAAGGGCGTTTATCGTTATCGCCGGATACTCCAAAAATCACTTTATAAATAACACCGATAGAGAGAAATCTCGCTCCGATCAAAACACAATACCGTATTTACCTTTTTTCCCCATTCAAATCTTAATTCGTTCCTCGACCTCTCTCCTATTTTTCCCTTGCCGAATAAATCCGTTCTTTCCAATTTTTCCGTATTTCCTCTCCGCGGGTGGTAAGAGGACTTCTTTTTACCGGTCGGTACCGCTCCGAATATTTTTCGATATTTAAGTATTTTCGACGGTACAAAATATAGCGGACTTCCATTCTCTGTTTTTCGGTAGGAATGGTGGCGCCGTAATGTTTCTAAGCTGTAGGGGTAGGCGAAGAAATGTTTGCCGGTAGAGAAACAGTTTACGTAAAACGATGGATGGAAAAATTTGGAAAATATCGATAAATAAATATACAGTCTTTTCCGAGGAGGACGCCGTTCCAAAATTCGAAATACAATTTTACATTTTACGGTAATTTTCTTTTTTTGCAGGGTTCTACTTGGACGTTGCAAGCCACCAAGCTGGATACGTCGATGGTGAGTGTCCGGCGGGGGCCGCCAAAGAACGGCCGACCCTCTTCCGCGGGTAATTTCCACCCGGAAAGTCGGTCGGCCGCAGTTTTTCCAGAGAAGAACCGATTGGTCCGTTTCCCGGGATTAAAACGCCTTTGGTGGCTTCCGCCCGACCAGTCGTCGTCCGGTTATCGTTCGATCCGACGTTAACCGGACGAAAAACCTTCGTCCGGTTAACGTCGGCTGGGAGAACCGCAATTTCGGCGCGGTCACCCGTGGATCGCTCTTATGGGGTCGACCGCGTCTCCGTTCCCCGTATCCCGATTAAAGGGAAATGTGGATAGAGAAGGGAAAGCGGCGGGCTGGGCTCCCGTAAACTAACGGAAGGATCGCCGGCAGGGAGGATACCGGCTGAATCCCGACCAACTGCAAGCGGTTAATCCACTGCTGATCGTCCTCTTCGTCCCGCTGTTCGAGTCGGCGGTGTATCCCCTGCTGGACAGGTGCGGTTGGCCCACCAGGTAATCTTCTGCCTTTCGCCGGGTAACCTCGGTCCTTAAGTCTCTTCTCACCGATTTTTTAACTCTGGCACAGACCTCTGCAGAGAATGACGGTCGGAGGTTTGCTGACGGCGCTTTCTTTCGTCCTGGCCGGATTTCTTCAGTTGTCCGTGGAGGTAATCGCTCGTCTGGTCTCGGCGGTAAGACGGACCGCCGGAAACGGGAATTAAGCTTAGTTCGCACCGAGCGCGATTTGCTGGCCAAAGCGAAAAACGCGTCGGACGCCAGGTCGTTTCCGGCATATTTTACCATTTCGTCACCAATCGTACACTCGTTAGTTGTCGCGCGGTTCTCGTTCTTTTCCAGATGGCTACAGAAACTTTCTCGCGCGATAGAGTAAATGTTGTAATTACGGTTTATCAATAAATCTTATTCTTTTTTACGTATCTTTCTCAATAAATAAACGAATCTAACCGGTTAACGACGGAATATCGGAAGCGGCCACTTTGTTTTTCCAGACGACGTTTTCTTTGGTTCGCTCTTTACAATTCGCCATAGCTTTTCGCTTTCGCTGGGTGTGATCTGACTATTAGCGCTGGTTTTTCGCGGCGCGGGGATTACGGACCGGACTAATTGCACTTTTCTTCTTTCAGAGTAACGTCTCCTCCCTTCCTCGGGGTTACGCGGGTCTGCGGATAATCGACGCTCTTCCCTGCGGCTCCGGCCCGCAACTTCCGTCGGACTGCCGACCCGGCACTTATTTCCTATCCGACCACGCTCTCTTTGTCTTCCGGTCCCGCCCCGTTTTCCACCAGGCGAGTCTCGGACGTTGTTCCCGCTCGAAGACCGATAAATGCGCGTTGGGCCAGGAGGACTTCTTACCCAAAAACGCCAGGCCGGCTATGTGGCGGTCTCCTCCTCGGCCCTATGTCGTTTCCTCTGGCTTTCCCGGCAGTTACGTACGCCCCACCGGAGCGCCGGACGTTTCGCCTTCCGTCCGTCTCCGCCTTTTGAGGCCTCCCCGAAAAAAATCGTCCGGCCGTTACGAAATTTTGCTTAAAAAGTAACTTTTATATTATTTTCGAGTCATAGTATTGGCGTATAGGCCAAGCACTACGACTCGAAAATAGTAAGTGTTGGTTATAATATTTCTGATGGTAAACTTTTATATTATTAAACTTAACGAATAAATTGTGTGACGCCATCTATTACCAGATTTTATTATAAAACTTTATATCGGTAATTATTACAAAACGACAAAAAGCTTTTTCGATAAGCAATTATTAATGCTAATAACCGGTAAAATCTCGGTTAAGTCCCACCCCGTCACCTTTAACTGCATCCGAATATTAAACGAAACAGACGCCGGAAAGTGGTTATTTCCAAAAAAAAACGGGAGGGTCGAATTTGACACCGTTTGCCTACTTTCCCTTCTCGCGTAACGGCCGGGAAAATAAAAGTTTTTTCCTAACAAAATCTAACGGAGGCCAAGAAACAATTTTATTAGTTACGATTAATAATATAAAAGTTTTTGTTAAATAAAATTTCGTAACGGCTGGTTGTCCAGGATTTTCAAGTTTTTGAACCGGGGCCCGCCGTTGCGCTTATAAGTTGGAGGAGTCGCAACTTGTTTGATCGGCCGGTAGCCGGTAACTTTTGTTTCGGATTTTGCCATTAATTATTTTTTCGTCAAATTCCTTTCCCGTTTCCCGTAGAAAGTCCTCCTTTCCGGGCCCTTTTAAACGCGGTACTTTAAATTTTCCAAAACCCCAATTTTTATTCCAATTAATAAAGCGTTTATTTCGCCAAGATGGAGGAAGACTTTGAGAATCCTAAGACGGGGGAGGCTCGAATCGGAATATTTTCTCCTCCGGAGAATTCTACTTTTCGTTTTGTAAATCCTCCCGGCGGTCCGGCCAGTACGTATCTCCATTTGGAATCCGGAGAGTAAGTAGGCAAACGTAATTTCGTTTAATACTTTAGTTTTGGTCCCACGAGTTTTTAACGCCTCCGTTTTAAGATACGGGGTGTACGTGTTCTACCGTGGCCGTGTCGAAAATAGCACCTTTGTTTTCGAGAGCGGAGTAAATTACGACCTAATCGTCGACCGGGATGGAAAATTGGTAAGGATTGGTTTTTCCGGTACGGACGACCTCCGGAGGAGAAATCGAATGTCTGATCGTTTTATTAGGTCTGGAAGAGTGGACGAAACGTCCCGCCCGCCTCTCCTTCCGTCCTGTGGCAGATACCGCAATACTTCCTCATCACCGCCGGAGAAATTATGTACTCTATCACCGGACTGGCTTTTTCTTACGCTCAGGTAAGTTCTTTCTCCCGCTTTGCCGGTAGAATTTCCTTACGTAATTACCCAACTCTTCCATTTGACAGGCACCCGAAAGCTTGAAATCGTTCATCCAGGCTTCCTGGTTTCTGACTACGGCTTTCGGAAACCTGATAGTTCTCGTTATTGCCGAGATAAGAATATTCGAAAAACAGGTATGTTCGATCCGGGATCTAAATTATATTTCCACGTTTCCCGAAAAATTGTAATATTAACAGAATACGATATAGGGATCTTCTCCCTATATCGTATTCTGTTTATATCGTATATGGTATTATGGAACCCCTCCATTTCGAACCGATAATAAAGGCGAACCGTAGCGGATTGTGGCCGAACCGCGCTAGGCAGACATTTGTAGCCAGGGGAAAACCCGTTTCGCTTCGGTTAAACGGTTGTCCTTAGTGAATTAGCATATTTGTGTTTGGTTAGCACAATGTTGCTGTTGAGAACGTATCATACAGGAACACTTTAAGAGGAAAAAGGTTGCTTTATTGACTTGGACGGATATGCATTTCGGGCTTAATGCCCCTCTTCAGTCCTATTATTATTACATAATTATCAAATTGGTTACAGGTATCAAAATTTACAGAATTCATTTAAAAAATTAGTATACGCGTACAGTGATTTATATGATAAAATACAATTACCTGAGATAGTGACCATTAAGCTGGTATTACACATAAGATATATATACACATATTTAAACACGGGAGGAGGAATGAGCAAATAGTGCTATCAGATCAATATACATGCACCTGAGGATAGTATAATGTGTGTTAAAATAAAAAGTGGTATGCACAAAACTAAAAAAGTGTATATTAAAAAGGTGTAAATTATGAAAAATTAACGGAATACCTGTAGGATGTGACAAATACAGAAGAGATGTGTAGAGGACAGGTCTGATGGAAGATGTTACAAAGAAGTGAGGGATCCTTGTAACATATACAGAGGTTGGTGGGAATTGCACAGTGGGGGTTAAGGTGGGAGGATGGTAGGACAACTTTAATGGGCTTTGCATCTTAGGAAAGGCTGCCAGATGTCATTTATGACAGTACCAGTATTTAAGTTCATTCTGTGTGTTTCTTTAGTTTTAATAATTTCGATATGTTCGTAGAATTTCCTTTTAAAAATGTTTTTTTCCCTTTTAAGTA